TTCCAAGGTGTTTTCGGTGCCCCAAATATCGGTGGCTTTTGCGCGTTGTCCTTGGCTCCTGCCCTGACGCGGCTCTCTCTGCAGGGAAGCTCTCCAGCATCACGGCCAACGCCGACACCAGCGACCACGTGACGCCCAAAGTGCAGTGGGTGCCCCAGGATGGACCCAAAAATCCCGTGAACAAGATCTCCTCGAGTAAGTCTTCCTGTTGACTCTCTTGGCCTTCCTTGGTGGGAGCCCGTATGCTCGGGGAAAGGGTTTGGACCGAGGGTTTGGAGACCGTCTCCGTGGCCCTTGTCCTCGTGCCTCTCTGATGGGGAGGTGACTTAAGAGCAGGTCCGAATTTCTCGGGGGGGAAGTTGAAAAGCTGATGTCCCATAACAGAGAGCACCAGGGAAGAGGTGTAACCCGAGTCCCTTTTCGGGGCTGGGACCTGCCCTGCCTCTCCCTGGTGCGGTCAGCGTGATGGCCAAGGGGTTCAAAGGAAGGCTACGTCCAGCACCGCCGAGTGACTTCAGGGCGGCAGTGAATTTCACCCTCCGCTGATCGGTGCCGTCTGCCTCTCTGATGCAAACCCTGACGCTCGGTTGCCATCTCGTGGAGTTGGGGATCTCCTGCGGTCTCCTCCCTCTGCCTTCTGCTAGAAATCAGACGTTTCCTTCTCAAGTTGATACTCCCAAACGCCACCGGCTTGAATAACGCCCTCGGCTAGCCGTGGAGGTCCGGGCTGGGATGCCTTTGCTCAGCAAGAAGGCTGGGGGCTGCAGCCTGCACTCGTTTCACCTCCTGATTTTTATGCCTTTTCCTTTCCACCTCAGCTCTTCTGCAGCCTCCTGCGTTTACCCCCGCTGGGGTCTGGCTTTTGGGGCGCGACGCCTCGTGGCCCGCTCTTTGCAGTGCTCGTTTGGAGAGTCCCGTACTCCGCGTTTTCCCCTCGCGCACAGAAGCCAGGAGCGTTTTGGCTTACGCGCCGTGGTCTTTTCTCAGCTCCCTCATCCCCCCGCTCCATCCATGCAAGCGCTGCCAAAATGCCCGTGCCTGACGCTCGCTCTCTGCTTTGCTCCTGTCCCTCTCCAGAGGAGCCCTGCCTCGGGGACAAGTCCATCTTCTGCCAGATGGAAGTCCTGGCCCGGT